ACGAGAGACATCTGCTGAGGAGAGTTGGGAGTTCCAGGAATTCAGTTTTGGGTTTTGGAACTAGATCTAAGGATATCGAGATTTTTACCTTGACCAGAACTTTGCCCGCCAAAGGGGTAACAGTGTCTGTGAAGGGGCTCTGTCGCCGCGTTAATGTCTTTGCTAACGCAGCTCTTTTTTGAGCGGATTGCGTCATGATGATTTGCTTTGATTCACTTGAATTTGGATTCAATTTTTCGATTTCGATAAAGAATGGCTCAACAATGGTCAAATTTTTGTTTCCTTAGAGCTGCAGTTCTAAAAGCCACGCTTCAAAAGCGCCGTTCTTCACCTCTCTGCTCGTCATCTATCTTCGTCATCTGAAAATCGAACCGCGCAAGGATGCTCTTCCCTCTCTCTGCCGTTCAAGACCTTCTTCCAGTCCTCTTTGCAGTGCTCATACTGTCCCAGAAGATCGGTTTCTCCCTCTGCACCAGCAACAGCAGCAATCTGACCAGCAACCTCGAACAAGATCGCATCTACAACGGCGAAACGGTGGAGGCCGGCAAGTGGCCCTTCATGGTGGCTCTCCTCTTCAACACCGGCATGGGCTACACCCAGTTCTGCGGCGGCTCCATCATCAACGACGACTCCATCCTCACGGCGACCCACTGCGCCTGGGTGGACAGCGACCGCTCGGCGCAGAACCTCACCGTCCTGCCGAGCGACGTCTTCGTCTACGTGGGGCACATCAACCTGAAGACGCTGAACCGCAACTACCTCTACGCGGTGAAGGAGTTCATCGTCAACCCGGTGATGGCCGCCACGCGGCACCTGGTGAAGAACTCCCTCACCGGGGAGGAGGAGTACCAGCTCGACTTCAGCCAGGGCCACGACGCGGCGGTGATCAAGCTGGAGAAGAAGATCACCTTCGAGGAGGGCCTGGTGACGCCGGTCTGCCTGCCCCACCCGAAGGCGGTCGTCATTCGCGAGCAGTGCATCGTCATGGGCTGGGGCACCAGGGAGGATGGGAGCCACCCGAACGCCCTCTACCAGGTGGAGATTCCCATCATGGACGGCGGCTGCGGGTCGAACTCTGCCTGGGACCGGGCACAGCTCATCTGCGCCGGCAATCCCAAGTACCAGAAGGACGCCTGTCAGGGGGATTCGGGTAAACTTTTTTTTTGCAGTCCCCTTTTTGAGCCCTTTTGTAACTTTATGAACACCTCTTTTTGCAGGCGGCCCCTTTATCTGTCCGCACCAGAGCGAGCCGAAGGAGTACCTGCAGTTCGGCATCGTCAGCTACGGCGTCGGCTGCGGCCAGTACGGCGGCTTCTACCAGAACACCACCGCCGTGCTCGACTGGATCAAGGAACAGGCGGAGAAGTAGGAAGGTCAACAAC